GACCGCCAAGACCTCATCTACCGCACCTACCATACCAGCACCTCCAGAGTGCATACCGCAAGGCTTCGTGGCGACTGGCAGTGGACTTGACGAGTTTACGCTAGGTGGTATGTCTGATTCCACATATGAGTATCTGCCGAAACAATACTTGCTCCTCGGTGGCCAAGTTGAGAAGTACCGGACCATGTATGAGCAGTCAATGGACGTAGTCAAAAAGCATTTGCTTTTCCGACCGATGCTCCCGAAAGAGGAGAATATCCTATTTTCTGGAAAACTCAAAGTCCCAGCAAGGTTTGACCGCACTCAAAGCGGCGATCTATTGCCAGAGAATGCCCATCTGACTTGCTTTGCGGGAGGAATGTTTGGCATGGGCGCAAAACTATTCGACCGTCCCGAGGATCTCGAGGTTGCCAAAAAGTTAACGGAAGGATGTATCTGGAGCTATGGCATGACATCCACTGGCATCATGCCTGAATCGTTTGAAGTAGCCCCCTGTGACAGCACGAATGAGTGTGCTTGGAACGAGACAACCTATTGGGAGTATATCGACCCACGACACGAATCTCGTGTAAAATATTCCAAGGAGCAAATGGAAATTTACGAATCACAAATGGCTTCTGCGTCGTCATGGTATAAGGCTCAGCTTGCTGCGATGACTCCACCGCCGAAACCCTCTCCTGCTGCTGCATTTCAAGCCAAAGCCACTTCAACTCTGATATATGCGGATACACTGGACAGGCGCCAGCTCGCTGAGCTTGTAGATGATGCAGAACCTGGACACATGCCAAGCTCATCTGTAAGCGTCCAGCAAAATCGAGGTTCAGTCATGGGCGGCGAACCTGAGGAAGGCGAAGGTCCTCCCATCAAAGCCCAACCAACATTGGATATCCCAGAATTCGCTCAGCAGCCAACTCCGACCCTACCAGACTTCCCTTATGTTTATTCGCCAGTCCCAGTCCTGAGTCACAAGGAATACGTGCAGAATAGGATCAAGGAAGACCGACTGCCAAATGGTGTTACCAGAATCGGAGCCAAGAATTACATTCTCCGGTAAGTTCTATTACCCGCTTTCAAGCCAGCAACATGTGCGTGTTTTGTCATATCACTAACGTTAATCACAGCCCGGAAGCAATCGAGTCCGTGTGGTACATGTATCGTATAACTGGATCACAGCACTGGCGCGAAGCCGGCTGGCGCATGTTCCTCGCTATTGATCGACACACAACGACGGAATTTGGCAATTCCGCCATCGACGACGTGACGAAAGTGGCTCCTGTAATCCAAGACGAGATGGAGAGTTTCTGGCTTGCCGAGACGCTGAAATACTTTTACCTCTTGTTCTCGGAAGAGGATGTTATCAGCTTGGATGATTGGGTATTAAATACTGAGGCGCATCCCTTTAGGCGTCCGACTTGAAAGGGTGTCACGTTGTCTTAAGTTATGCGTAGTGACTAGTAGTGTCCGATTATTATTATCATTATGTTTGCGTGCAGTCTAATAGCTGGTCTGGGCACGTATTGTATAGAGAAATTGGATTTACCATTACCCTCATCTCTCTTTCCAGGCATATCGTTGTGTAATCTTGAGATTGTAGATATTGGTATCTAAGGCGAGCTTCCGTGACGAACAAGGTTAAACAGGCCTCATATTTGGGTAGTGTCCTCACAAAAGGGAGTAGCTCCTCTTCTTTGACTTACTTCTACTTGGCACCTTGTTTTAGCCCCGGGCTGATTGGTGTTTGGAGGTCCACGACCTCGTGATGCACGTATTCCAAAATTTGTTGCTCGGTGGAAAACTTCGTGCCAATGACACATCACACTCGTATTATGGCAATTTGAGGAGGGCCTCGGGTGGATTTTGCCCACACGGTAAAGCTCAATGTCCGCACTAAGCTTTTGACAAAAAGCTTCTGCATGTGTGAAACAAATCTTTTTCATGAATTCAGTCCCACGTAGGTGAAAAAACTTGAAACTGCGAGGTTTGGCTCGGGTACAAAGAGACACTAAGCTTTTTGGGTACGGTGAACACAGTCAGATTGTCAGGCATAGATACATCGATATGGTACCCCACATAAGTTCTTGTGGGTAAAGCTGTCTTGATGCGGAGATTGCAGGGTAGGGCAAAGGGTCGGGCTGGAGATCGGATGCGGTTTAGTTCCCGTCATCCCGGTGATATGAACCTGACACACTTTGTCACTGAAAGAAAAGAGGGCAAAGTGCAGGCGGATGGTGCAGAAAATGAAACGATTGTGCCGTGGGGAGCATACTGCCACCATGTGTATACAAATAGGCAGTTCGGAAGATATCAAGGGTTGACTTGGCAAAGCTCAGGCGAAATAAATACATAGTAGACAACGAACCATGTAAGTTCTAACAAGCGCTGTACTATTCGGGGCGGCAGTCAGGCGCACGGCCATTCGCAACGGTAACATATATTCAATACATACATACATATATCCCGGGATCAGCATCATTAGCAGGAACAACGGCTGTAAACTCCGTTCATCAAACACTAATTGATGAAAATATTAAGTCAGTCGACAACTGTCTTTGCTCAAAATCTTACACCATGCTCGTCTTTTACAGTGTTCACATTCTATCCCAGCGGTGGGGATTGGGAAGCCACAGGTGAGAAGGCTACGATGGCAAGACCGTAGATCTCTCACGAACAGCCCCGTCTCTGTGTTGTTTTTGCACTCATCGAATCGCGCATGATTCATCGGGGAGTAGTCAGGTTGAATGACCGATGAAAGGTTTCACGGCAAAGGTAAGCAATATGCAGGGACTAGTCTGTGAATAAGTTTTCTGAGAGTTTAGTAATTGTATCCATATTAGTTATGGATATTAAGATTGCCATTTGGGGCCCTGGTCAAGTATCACGGGCTTGATCTGCACCCCACACATACTATAACTGACGCGTACACCATTCACGACTTAGGACACTCCGTCAGAACCTAGGAAAGCTTCGCACATATAGTTTCGCGTAACTATATCAAGGTGTCACTTCGGTTACCATTTGACTTCTAGAATACTCCCACCCTGGAAAGCTGGAGTCTCAAATACCAGGACTGGGCGGTATAAAAGGGTTTCGGCACTTCGCGTGAGGGAAGACAGAACAGCCACAGTCACTTCACACTAAGAGCTTTCTAGCAATCCCACACCATGAAGATCAATTCATTCATCGTCGCCGCCCTGGCCTCCGTCGTCACTGCTCAAGACGCCTGCAAGCTCTACAACTACTACTCAAGCAACGGCTACGAGATTCTCAACAACCTCTGGGGCGAAGGTAGCGCGACCAGTGGAGCACAATGTACATACGTTGATAGCGTCACCGACGCCGGTACGAAATGGCACTCAAACTGGACCTGGGTCGGTGCCCCCAACAATGTCAAAAGCTACGTCTATGCGGGCCGCCTATTTACCAAAAAGCCTGTGAGCCAGTTTACAAATCTGCAAACCGAGGCAAACTGGGCCTATGACACCACCAATATCCGATGCAACGTTGCTTATGATCTCTTTACCGCCCAGGACGTCAACCACACTACCAGCAGCGGAGACTACGAGCTCATGATCTGGCAAGTAACCACCGATTAACCTCACATGTTTTGTAACTATGCTAACCGCCCCTATAGGTTGGCTAGATACGACGTCTACCCCATCGGCTCCTCGCAAGGCATGGTCACAATCGGCGGCCGCACCTGGGAGCTTTTCTACGGCCTCAACGGCGCGATGAAAGTGTACTCCTTCGTCGCACCCAGCCCTATCCCGAATTTCACCGCCGATGTCAAGGACTTCTTTGCCTATCTCACCGAGAACAAGGATTACCCCGCTTCTACTCAGAACCTTATCAGTAAGCTCTTTCGTACCTCCCATAATATGAAATAGGACGCTAACACGTTCGCGTTTTTTTTTAGCCTATCAGTTCGGTAGCGAAGCGTTTACTGGAGGTCCTGCTACGTTTTCGGTAAACAAGTGGAGCGCTACTGCTTCCTGAAATGTCTTCTTGAGATGAAGGAGGGGGGAGCGAGACCAAATACGGAGAGAGGCTTTCGAATGAATTGGCACGTTGCTGCTGTTTCTCTTAGGTAGCAATGCCATGTGCATACATACTATTGGATTTTCCGTGTCTATACTATGTAGGAAAATGAATTCAAGAATATAAGCTTTTTGCTATTGATAAGATTGCTAGAAGTCTCGTAAACGGGGATTTGGGGGATAGACAATAGTTTCAGTTGCTTGACTACCTCTAGATACTGGGCTGTAAAGACTTTGTTTCTATTGTTTGTCAACAAACTTTGGGCTAGTGTAAAAGGAAGGATCTCCCTCATCTTCAGTGTAAATATGGCGGGTAATTGTTGATGCTCTTGGAGCTACCTATATCTTGTTTTATAGTACAATGATCAACATTTCCCTTGTTTACCAAAGCCTCGTCCCGCCTCAGTAGAAATTTTTTTTCTTTGTGAAGCTATTTGACTTTCTCTCTACCGATTTGAATCTATTGATGTTTGACAAGCTGTTTTGATCTTTTACAGGACACCAAATAAAAACATGAAAAAGGACCGAAACAGATTTGATATTACTTCTACTCCAAAGCAATGAAAGCGAAAAGGTACAGGCAACAAAATTTCCTCGCTCTATCGTCATCTAGCTGCATAATGTGTTATAAGAAGCCGAGTTTGGCAAGAAATCAGTTCAAAATTGAAGATTTTATCCCCACAACTGCAGCACAGAAACAACACTTCAACCAATGATGCAATGCACCTGAAATCCTCTCATCCACCTCTAAAGCTGGTACCAAAAATAGACTCCCCTTCTGCCTTGGCTAAGATTTAGTTTCCACCTCTACCTCCCATATCACGCCTACTGGTTGCCGTTACTCCTCGATGCAAGGTGTTAACTTTGGCTGACAAGTAAAATTCGAATCTCCACACAAAATAGCTGCCCAAAACATCAGCTCGATGCTCAAACCCGGCTCAAAACAAAAAGGAGTGAGAGAAGAATCTACTTACCGTGGCAGTTTCCGCTGCAGCATTGTGAGTTGCCTTCAGGTAGTGTACAAGAAACTATGAGTTTTTTTCTGTTAGCATGTTGATGCATAGCAGATTTGGGAGGGGGAGTGAATCGACATACGTCCGTTGAAAATGCATTGGCGTTCCTGGAGCTCGGCTGGGATGGCGACGGCGGATGCGACGCTGAGGACGGTGGCGAGGACTGCAACGAGCTTCATAATGAATGTTTTTTTGAAGTGATTGATTTCAAGTAAGAGTTGTACTGTTGATATGTAGATGTAGATGTAGAATGATGTCTCCCAACTCCATCAGAGCGAAGCCAGTATTTATACTTGAAAATTCCCTCTTCCATAAGTTACCCTGTTGCTTGATAGTAGTTAGCATGTCAAGTGATCATATGGATCTCTTGCTCGATCGCACTATGAAATACCCTGCTCGGCAAACAATGGCACGTGGCATAGTGAATTCAGAGGGGCTGGTGAAGGACCCCTGCAAGCCACGCCTACTTCACCCTGTAAGCCTAGACTTTCAGGACAGAACCGGCCCGCATTGCTCCGAATATGCTGGTCGCTTGCATCCAAGTACCTTGGTTGTATTCCTAGCGAGGCCGGAAGCCTGTTAGTCTTCATGCTGTTGGATTCCATATATACATATCATGAATCTCGTTGAGATGTTGTTTTTTTGTTGCTACTACCACTGCATTGATGCCAAAGATTTATGGAATAGCTCTGATTATTAACACAGCATAGCAAGACTCCAAGCATACTAATTGAGCCTTACCCATTCTTGCTAAGCTCTGGGTTCTGCCGTTGAAACAAAAGTCCGAGATTCTTACCTCCGTAGTACAGCCGTACCGGCCAACGGGAGTTCTCAATATTCATCAGTCATGCTAACCGGTAGTTCGCTAGATTCCATTTTTTGTCCGCCAGCCGCAAAGTATTTTGACGTGGTATATGCAACAATTAAAAACATAAAGCAAAGCAAACAGATAAAATATGTAGAGACATGTTATTGTGCAGGTGTTTAAGAGAGCGCCTAACAATCGATCTATATGCATTCCATGCTGTGTAACTTGATTGAGTAAGCTCCTGCTGTATTAGTGTAGCTACTTCGGTTCCTGCCGTCTTATCGGGGGCGCAAACCCAGATTAGTATGTATACAATCCTCAATCGATCCAAGCAGCTCTTTTACGTGGCGGCAAGGGCACCCTTTGTGGCTTAAATAGTTACAAGTATTAACACCCTGATTTCACCGACCACGGGTCCAGAATTTTGGTATCCCATCGGACCTAGACTTCATCCGGAAGAGGAACTGATAACAAGGCCAGAGCGCAAACCGCATCAAGCACCGGAGTGCCGTTGCGGGGCAATCAGATACTCGTATAGATGCCTCGCCTCGGCACTATTTGGCTGAAACAGCCGGGTGTCAAGGTATATCCTTTCGTATTGTGGCTGCAATGCTTTTGTAAAAAATGTGGGCGAAGGTTGGCTGTATGGATCTTCCAGAGATCTGGACTCCGTATTAGTAAAGCTGCGCTAACCCATACTACTTATCTGGGAGGCAGCGGCACATCGGCGGCAACATCTAACTATTGAGAACTCTCCTTCCCGCATATTCAAGAGTTGGTCTTTCAAGGAGCTGTTGGTCTTTCAAAGGTTTCACGTAGGTAGACTTGTCGATCTTGTTGTAGGTAGATACAACGAGCGTAGAACCTCATGTTTGTGCGCAGTGAAGTATCACGGAAATATGAATGTACTTCATGTTTAAGTGTCTGTGTATAACAGTGCTTGATAAGCACGAGATTTTTGAATCCGGTGGTGTCCGAAAGAACGATACTTAGCGGGGAATTACGATAATTTATCTCGCGTTACATTACCCCATGGGAGTTGGGCGCGCGTTTAGAAAAAGAAAGTACTAGCTAAGCTAACTAAAAAGAGAATGACATACGTAGAGCCAAGACTAATTTACCGCAGTAGCGTGAGCGTTTAAAAAAACATGGGGCAAAACAACGCTTACCATACATAGGGTTAGGCAACTCAATCCTGCTTTATTGCTCTGACCGATGTTCAAGCATTCGGAGGTACCGGATACAAGTAAGTAGCACTGAAGGAATTTCCTTCCATGTCTAATCTATCATGCGTTACCTGCCAATATTTCGAACGTCACTCCACTTTTTAGGATGCCCCCGGTTGTTGCACTTTGGAACATAGCATCTCGTATATCGCATGATTCAAGAAAGAACAATGGCACTATTTCGGGAAGGGGCCAAGGCCACTATATTATATCCATTCTCAAATCACATGTATAGCTTGAAAAGTAATATACTAAAAAAATAGATGGGAGCGAAAACAGTGAGCCCACTTGCAGCAGAGACACTCCAGTACTCGTCTACCAGGACTCTGGCCTGCTCTCTTGAACTACAGTCCCCAACTCAGTGCTAACATACGACTGTTGTGAGCCACGTCTTTGACAAGAAGGCAAAATCTCTTGTCCAACCTATCATCATCTCATCTAGGGCAGTACATTATCAAGCATGTAAATATATGTATGGCTACAGACCATCGTCATTGTCTTTGTCCACCATTACTTCAATACATACAAAATAACATACTAGACTCTCAGAGAACACCTCTCGATCAGCAAACATATGTACATGCAATTGGGAACATCCAAACTCTCCCTTCAAGTCCAACAAAGCCATCCCTAATTTCACACGATATCGCCATGATTCTACCATGTCAACTCTTGGCCATCGGCGTCTCCACACCTTACAGAATACGAAGTAACCGTTGTCACAACTTAATGGATATATATCACATTTTTCTTATATCTACAAGCGAAGTAGAGAGCATGGATGCTTGCACAGACGCCTTCCAACCCTCATCAATCCCGTCTACACCTAAGCGGAGTATAGCAGCAATAGATGACACAACTCCCAATATCTTACAAACTCCTCTTCTCAAACTTTTCCTCATAGCACTGAATCTTATCGCCAACTCTGAAATCTTCCCAGCCGTCAAATGAGATACCACACTCCGTGTCCTTGCGCATCTGCTCGACGTCTTTCTTTTGATTCTTGAGTGAAGTGATGACACCTGTGAAACAAGAGATATTAGCGTGTGTCAGTTTTTGGGAAATTTCGGGTGCAAAACGTACCATCATGAACAAGCGTCTCACCACGGAGCACTCTTGCTTTTGTGCCCCTATCAACGACACCGTTGCGCACCTTTGATCCCGCAACTTTCATCTTTTTCTTGCCACCCAAGCCAATCTCGAATACGGCTGCAATATCCACCTCACCTGTGACTTTTTGAATGACCTTTGGCGCGAGCTTCTCAGATAAAAGCTCCTTGACATTTTCGACAACGCGGTATATGATATTGCTGTCGAGGATCTTGACACCCTTTTCCTCTGCGAGCTTAGCAACATTTCCGGGAATGGTAGTGTTGAAGTTGACAATGTGGCCGTTTGCATCAGCTGCGTGCGAAACGTCGAATTCTGAAGGTGCACCGACGCCATGGCGGAGGATGCGCGTAGAGACTTCTGCGTTGCCAAGAGCAGCGACAGAGTCGATGACTGCTTCTACAGAGCCAGAGACGTCACCTTTGATGATGAAACTTATGACTTCCGGGCCAGCGTCCTTCTTTTCAGGAGTCGTGGGCTCCTCACCATTCTCGATAGCCTTGGCGGAAGCTTCCTCAGCTTCACGACGCTCGGCTTCCAGACGACGGGATTCGTTGATAGCTTCCATGTCGCGCGCCATTTGTTCCCTCTCCACCTTTTCGCTGCGCAACTCAGTAACAGAAGTTGCGTGCTGTTCGTCCTCAGCTTGAAGCACTTCGTCACCAGCAATGGGTTGGTCGCGCCAGCCATCGACTTCAACAGCCATACCGGGCCCAGCTTCCTTGACCATTGCACCGGCTTCATTACGCAGACTACGCACGCGTGTCCAGGTAGTGCCTGCAACAAGGGCTGTACCTTGGCGAAGAGTACCGCTACGGACAAGAACAGTAGCCACACGCCCAGACTTTTTAGTTGTACCTTCCAAGACCCATCCTTCCACGGCAGCCTGAGGATCAGCGCGGTGATCCAACATCTCCGAGAGAGTAGAGATAGCTTCTTCTAAGTCTGGAATACCCTGACCAGTCTTCCCACTCACACAGACAGTTTGGACATCACCACCAAAGTCCTCAATCTCAATGCCGTGGCGACCGAGATCGAGCTTGACAGCCTCTGGGTCGGCTTGTGCTTTATCAATCTTGTTGATGGCAACAATCATGGGCACCTTGGCAGCCTGCGCGTGCTTGATAGCCTCAACAGTTTGTGGCATGACAGAGTCGTCAGCGGCAACTACCAAAACGACAATGTCGGTGACGTTGGCACCACGAGCGCGCATCGTCTCGAAAGCAGAATGGCCGGGCGTATCAAGAAAGGTAATCTTCTTTCCGTTTGCTAGCGGCACGCTGAAAGCACCAATATGTTGCGTGATGCCACCAAACTCAGTAGCAGCTACACTGGTCGAGCGCATATAATCAAGAATTGTAGTCTTTCCATGGTCAACGTGCCCCATGATAGTGACAACCGGTGGTCGAGCAGGGAGTTCAGCGTAGGCCTCGGGTTCCAAAGGCGGTGCGGGGTACAGATCACCATCTTCTTCTTCAGACTGGAAGATGGGTTCGAAGTTGTACTCTTGTGCGATGAGTCCAGCATGTTCGGCGTTGAGGATATGGTCATTTTGCACGTCCTCGAAACCCAGCTCTTCCAGTTTCTGCACAAAGTCTTCCACTCGTAGTTTCAACGCTCCGGCGAGATTGGCGACAGTGATATACTCTGGTAGAGAGATGGGAGTTGGCTCGTTCTTTGCAGCCTGTGCCGCCTTCTTCGCTTCGGCCCGCAGTCTCTTGCGCTCTGCCTTGCTAATAGATGGGCGGTCCTCGTCTTCTTCGTCTTCGAACCGCTGTATCCGCCCTCTCCTGCCCTTGGTGCCGCCCTGACGGCGTGCAGGCTCTTCATACCGGTTCTTTTCCTCGGGCTCATCGAATGCGAAGCGGCTCCGTCTTCTCTCGCTCTCAATGTCATTGCGTCGTCTGGTATCCTCCTCAATTCGTGACGGAGACGGAGGTTCAATGTCCAGTTTGCCCTTTGACTTTTGTGCCCAAGCCTCAGCTGCATCTGAGATGGACTCCTTGTAGCGTTGGGGTGGACGGTACATTGTTGTTGCTTGTTCTGTTCGCTGTTGCTGCGGCTTTTCACGTAATGTTGGCTTTGTTGGACATGTGGTACTTGTGTGTTCCTTGGAGCCACAATGCCAGCAGGTTCGTTGCGCGTTGGCGTTTCTTGCAAGCGGCTGATATGGCTTGGACGGCCGACTAGTCGTAGATGCATCGCCCAATAACTTCGATATTTCATCTTGGTCCAGCATCTTCCTTTGTGGTGGTGCTCTCGCGGCCGGCTGCATCCGTCGATGGTCTGACGCGAGTGAGGCGCCATCGTGTTGGGGCTCGTTGCGTCGTCTCAAGTGGCCAGGACTGAATGCAGGCATGTTGACCTGTGGTCTGGCATCCATATTGACTGTATAGCGATTCTGTTGCATGTTCCTGTATTCATTTCGGTCGGTGACGCCCGCACGCCGAGGGGCAGGTGCAAAGCGATCTCTGGTCTGATTGCGGCCATGTCCCTCGGTCGCACCCACTCTATTCACTGGCCGTCGGTCGAGGGAATTCTGTCGGGGTGGCTGTGGTTGTGGTTGCTGCGGTCTCTGTGCTGCCAATGCGGCCTTCATCCTCTCTGCTGGTGACATATATCCTCCTTGCTGTGGTTGAGGGGCAAAGGCAGCACTGGCAGCCAACGCCTGGCGCATCAGCTGTGCCTGCGACATGGGCTGCTCGCGTTCATTTGCATCTTTGTAGATGATGCCTTCTGCTGACTGCGGCGTTCGGCTGGACGAGTTGAGTTGTCTTCGCTGGGCGGCGTGGGATGGCGTAGAGACGGCCAATTGACGAGAGGCACAGAAGATGCAAACATCGCGGGTCGAAGAAACCTGCACGTGTGTCAATTACTGAGCTGAGGAAATACGTAGTGAATTGTCCCGCTTACCCGAAGTCCACGCGCTCTTCGCATGTTGGGCGATGTGGTGTTGTGGTGCGTAGTGGCGGATGGAAGAGGCGCTCAAAAGTTTGGACAAGATCCCGCCCACAGATCCTTGCCCGTCTACCCGTTATCACTAGCCTAGCGCGGCAACCACTCGGCCGTTCCCCACCCTTCCCCCGTGGCTCCAGTCGTGTTTCATTCAATCAACATGGTGGCATTAGCAACACTCATCTTCCAAACAGTATGCTCAATTGACTCGGCAGTCATGATACAATAGTCTCTATGTTGCTAATCATATAAAAGGCATTACAAAATAAAGTATAAACCACCAAGATAAATCTAATCTACGCTATGCAAAATGACCAAGAAACCAACAATCCAAATCAAACACACCATTGCCATGCTAGATCAAATACCATACAAACACATCCCTCTCATGTTCCCTCAAGACCTCGACCTCAAAGAGGCACATTAGGCTTGATCGCCCCACCCTGACTCTTCGCAGGATCAACACTGGGTTGCTTCGTCACCGTTCCCTTGGCAGCCTCCTTGTACTTCGCCAACGTCTTCTCATTGTCACTGAAATCCTGGTTAATAACCCCACTCATGCCCCTCTGGCAATGATCCCCATTCGTCTGCGAGCAGTAGAACCATATGGGCTTCGTATCCTTGACCATGAACGTGAAAACGTTGGGAGCTTCACCGGCTGTAGTGTTAAAGTTGAAGCCGGAGAAAAAGGCGTCGGGGGTGTTGAGTGGTGCGCAGGGTTGGGCGAAGGAGGATTGGACTACTGAGTGCGCTTTGGGTAGGAAGTGGAATTCGATCAGGTCGCCAGGGAGAGCGACGACGTTTTCGGGCTCGAAGTGCAGGCCTGAGTTTGCGGTTGTGGACCCGGCAGTAATGCGGTGGGTTACGCCTGTGGGGTTGATAGTAGAGGCGGGAATGGCGACGGCGTTGGTGAGGGTGGAGAGAAGGGTGGCCGTGAAGACCATGGTGGAGGAGAAAGAGAGCATGATGATTATTTTATCTGGGGTTGGGGTTTTAGAGATTTGAAAATCTGTATGGGAATTGATGTGGATACTTGAATAAGTAGGCAGATGAGTGCGTGAATGCTTGCTGATGTGATGATAGAATTATTTCACAGCATATTCTCACACACATATATACTGGCCTGCCTTCAAGTGTCAAACAATCAGCATTCTATTCATGTCCTGGACTTAGCCCCCGGATGCTGTTTTTGCCGGAGGAAAGTAAGCTGGATGCTATTGTTGATGTTGCAATTTCGCTAAGGTGGATGAACACAGCCTCAGACTCATCCTTGACCATGCTGCGGCGAGCCAGGCCAGCAACGAGTTTGAACTCGAGAGACAGCATCTCACTGGTTACCAATTTCTTTTTCGGATCCGAGTTATTCCTGGAATCGTCGTGTGCTGCGCTGATAAGTGAAGTGGCAGGCCTTGATGATGCGGCTGAAATTGATGACGCCAGTTACTACTTGGTCTCCTGTGGCTGAGCCTCTGAGAAGATAACACCATGCTGAGCAATCCCCATAGCGCTTTGTCGGCTTGGAACCTATTTTCTCTATAGTGCCATTTTGGTGCTGATGATGATGGTGACGGTGCTAGTGGCCATGATGAGCTGCCGCATCAGCTACTCGTGCTCGGAAGCAGTGGCATCCGAAGAAGGCAACTGCACCATGTGATATTGTTCATTAATCTGTAAAGGAAGTATTACTGTTGTTCATTGCTGGCTATTTTTTGATCAGCAGGTGGCAGCTTAGTCAATGGAGGGTGATGTTCTTAAACCTCATCTCTTTTCGGCTAAAGCCTTGACGCTGGAACCTAACTGTGTAGTCATTTATGTTTCCACGGAATTTGTCGCTGCGTAATCGAAACGTCAAAGAATGTTAGCGTCGTCAATGTGAGTTTGTTATAGAAGGATATGCCAGATGATAAGTAAACAGCGCCACGCTTCAGCTGCCCCGTTAGTCATGTCTTCTTACACCCACCATTCTTCTGACTCTTTGCTCAACGAAACACACGAATGAAAAGCACGCCCACTAAAATAGCGCAACAGCAACCAAATCTAAGTGCACACTAGTATCAAAGAATGTTACAATCTTTTCCTCATAGCATATGAATCTATACGTAAAACTCCTGGACGTGTGTATGAAGAACATTCCTTTTTAACTACGTCGTAGTGAATACGGCTAATTGCAAAGGGCAGCTTGATGTTGATGGGGGCTGTTTTAATCGGGTATTGTGTCGGACTAAGAGCCACCGATTCATGTTGATTGTCGCACCCCCACCGAGATCTCCAATGATGCGAACACCATCCTTGCTATACTAAGCGAAAAGTCGCATTCACACCCCAGCATTCGGCCCATTAGGTAGTTGGAGGTGACATGAGCATCGGCAAGCGATGCAGCTCTTGTCACGCATTCTGCCCTGTTACTCCTAAACCGCGCCTACGATGCTAATTGGATACAACACCTGGTAATGCAAGGGGGTTCACAGTCGGCAATGCAAGTGTACTAGTCATGATCAGTTCAGCAGACTCGTGCCATTCTTGCTGCTTGGTAGCCCCAACAACAATTGATACCTGAAATCAGCCCAATCGGTATGAGATGTGGCAAGCATGTGTGAAAAACAACAAAAAGTACGCCGATGGCGACCAGCTACCCACGAAGAAAAGACAGCAAGTATCCAAACTTTGCAACGAACACGCATACGTAAATGCGTACCTACATATACGTATGTATGTACGCCGCCGAAGTGTTGGAATAGTGGAGGCCAATCGCAGGCCTTACCGCGCCGTCCAGTAAGATAAGCGTGCGACGCTATCCACTGGCCCGGAATGTTTTTCGAGAGCTGGAACTATTGGATCCTGCGGCTGAGACGGACAAGAACATGCTCTCTGTACCTGAATGCATTTCGATAAAGTCTTCATCAAGATGCATTTACTTGCTGTTCTAGTAGGGTTGCTTACTACTTACAAGAAAATCCGGCCCGAAGAGACCATGCGTCAACACCATGATCTCAACGGGGTTATCGAGCCAACTAATCTACGACATCGAGCCGCCTAAGCTTTCATACAGGTAGTCTAAACGCCTAGCGTACCCTTTGATTACAAAAGTCCGGCTGCGCGATCGTCACGCTACAGGACGAGCAACTTTTCCTGTGCCTATGAGATCAGGGATCGCCGGGCCCGGACTTTCGGGTTTCTTGGCAACTAAAACGCCGACATAGTACTGCAACAAATTGAACCTGGATCCACGGCAGCGTATCGAATGCGCATTACTAGTAAGGTGGCGCACAACTCTGGTCCGTGGAAGAGCGTGGGTGCCTAGAATGCACATGTACGTACAGGGAACACTGAGGGTGGGGAAAGGAAAAAGGAATTCTCTTGGTTCTGAGTCGCAATTGACGATTCGTGATGCGATTTGGGGAACCGCTTGGTGTGCACGAAAGCAAAAGTAACAGGCCGAGGCAACTTCCATGTGTAGGGACTCGAGTAGGTTCGTCCGACTATTATGCCAGTAGTAATAGGGCAGTTCACCTGATACCCAAGAGAGATTAGCAGGGTGCTATCTATGAATACAGTGCGGAGCCGGGCGTGTCATACACTGTCTGGGCCGTCGGCATGTCAAATTCACAAGGGTGCCGAAGTGCTAAAGGGGAACAGGAACAGGCGTGCCGCTGCATGGGCTAGGATATCGTCAACGAGCCTTTCTCTAACGGCCGTTGCACTTGTCCAAGTGGAGAAGGATCCCTGTCAAACTAAGGGACGGGTGCTGTGGAGCGTGTCAAATAGCCTTTTGTGCTTAGTCGACCTGTCTTGCCTTAACCCCCCCCGAAAAAATATAAGTACTACAGGCAGGCAGGCAGTATCATTCTCATTATCTCGATAATCACGGACAAACAAAATGCACAACTCTGTCTTGCTTGCCCTTTGGGCCGGCATCTCTTTTGTACTTTACAAGATCGCATGCTCAATCATTGTTTCCCGTAAGCGTGCCGCCACGGCCCGCCAGTTGGGCTGCTTGCCCGCCCCTCCTTTGGAGTTGGTACCATTTGACCCTCTTGGGATACACAACATTGCTATTCTGATCCAGGCGGACAAAAACTCTCTTGTTCCTCAATGGATGGAAGAGCGCCACAAGCGAGCTTGTGCCAAGGCTGGCAGGGAAATCACTACGTTTCATCAGAACGTCATGGGCGGCGAGAACTATTTCACCATTGAGCCAAAGAACATTCAAGCCATTCTGGCAACTCAGTTCAAGGACTTTGGTCTTGGAATTGTCCGAAACAGGAACTTCTCTCCCCTACTCGGTCACGGCATTGTAAGCGGCAAACTGGGTATATTCAATGGCATGTCCAGATCACTAACAGTATACACAGTTCTCTACAGATGGCGAGCAATGGGCAGGTGCAAGAGCCCTGCTCCGACCCCAATTTGCCCGGGACCAAGTCAGTGACCTAGAGCTCGAAGAACAACATGTCCAGCACCTGCTACAAGCAATTCCCAAAAATGCCAATGGCTGGACCGACGTCACCGACATTGAGCCTCTCTTCTTCCGCCTAACCATTGACTCCGCCACGGAATTCCTCTTTGGCGAAAGCGTCGACTCGCAGCTCTCCGCCCTCCCAGGCTACAAATCCAGCCGCGCTCCCCTCGCCATCAGCGAGCAAGACTTCGGCGTAGCCTTCGACAGAGCCCAAGCCCAAATCTCCACCGCTACCCGCTTCGGCGATGCCTCCTGGCTCGTCTTCAGCGGCGACAGGTCGCACATCCAGCGCTGCCACAGCTTCATCGACCACTACGTACAACTTGCCCTCTCCAAAGACAAATCCCGGCCCCAATCCCCCTCCTCGGACAAGAAACAAAAATACATCTTCCTCGACGCCCTCGTGGAATCAACCCGCGACCCCGTCGAACTCCGCACCCACCTCATCTCCATCCTCCTCGCCGGCCGCGACACCACCGCCTCCCTCCTCTCCTACATCTTCATGTGCTTTGCACAGCACCCACACGTCTACCAGCACCTACGCTCCGTCGTCCTCTCAACCTTCGGTACCTATTCCTCGCCGCAAAACCTCACCTTCGAAGCCCTCAAATCCTGCGCTTACCTCCAATGGGTCATCAACGAGACCCTGCGCCTCTACCCCGTCGTCCCCATTGATGGCCGCCGCGCTCTCCGCGACACGACGATCCCTACAGGCGGTGGTCCCGACGGCACAGCCCCGATCTTTGTGCAAAAGGATACGAATGTAGAGTATAGTGTGTACGTTATGCATCGGCGCAAAGACCTCTGGGGCCCAGATGCGGACAAGTATCGGCCTGAGCGCTGGGACGGCAGGAAAGCCGGGTGGGAGTACCTGCCGTTTAACGGCGGCCCGAGGATTTGCATTGGCCAGCAGTTTGCCCTGGTTGAGGCTGCGTATACGATTGTGAGGTTGACACAGAAGTTTGAGCGGATTGAGAGTGCAGGCAATCTGTGGGATCCCGTGGAGAAGGGAGGCGAGGGCATCATCAAGCACAAGTTGAGTTTGACAATGTGTCCTGATGGGGTTAGGTTGAGAATGAAGGAGGCTGCGGAGTAAGAGAGAAGTGCTAAGATAGATCGGATGGGTGGTTTGTGTTGTTTTCCTTTCATGGGTTTTGCATTGCGGGAATAATGGATGAAATAATGAATCGTCTTTTTCCTTCGCTTTTCAGTCTGTCCAAGTAGTCTTGTATCTTAGTCTTGCATTAAAAAAAAAGTGTCGCATGCACCAAAATCAAAATGCTTCGTCGTAAAAAAACAACAGCAATCTTCCTGATCCTCACTTCTTACAACTCTGCCTGGTACACTTCCTCTTGGCTCGCTTCCGAACCAGCCGCCCACCGATTCGCTATCAGCTTAGCAACATTTTTGCCACTCAAAGCACTAGTTTCCATGGTGCTGATGAAGCTCTCAATGCCACTGGTATACCAAAGTCCATCATCGAGCTCAATTTCTTCAAACGTCACACGCGGGTATTCTCGAGGATATGAATGCCAAATCTTGTGGTGAATCCAGCTAACATTTCCATTGGCTTCGCCGTGCTCAGCTTCCTCATCCGAGACTTCTGCGCCGAGAATGTGGGAGAGAAAGGTAGCATTGACGCGGGAAGGAGAAAAGATCTTGTAGATGTATTCATGTCGGGCTGGTGATGCTCGCTTGTTGACGCCAGTGCCAGTAATCGAGATGCTATAGAAATTGGGGGAGCCTGCCCCGTCTACAACTTGTTCAGATGGGGGTAGGGTGGTAAGGATAGTTGTTGGTACGGGCGACTTGACATCCAGATTGAATGCCGCTTGGCTAAGTTGAAATGGCGTCGCAAACAGTGTCGTGTACAGCTTCGTGTATGGAATCTCGTCAGGAATGTGCTTTGGCGCGGGGTCGATAATAAGATCCGAATACTGCAGAGGCGACGCGAGAATAACCTCATCAAAAGAAGAAGTTTCACCCCCACTGGTAGTGATCTTATAGCTCCCGTCGGCCTGCTTTGAGATGTGGCTGACAGATGTGTTGAGATGGACGTTCCCGCCAGAAGTCTTCAGCATGTGAGCGAAAATCTGCCAGTTTCCACCTTCAATTTGCATGGCTCCATTGGTAGCCATGCATACCATTGTCTCCAAGCCATGAATGTACGGGAGATTAGAGGCATAGTTGACGCGAGTGCTGGCTTGAATGATGTCTTTCGAGAAGGCCTGTCCAATCCCATTCGCCTTGAGGTACTGTTCGCCCGTGACTCCTGTGACCTCCAACAGACCTACACTCTCAACGGCAGCACTGAGACTCTTCCACGGGAATACCGGCTCGTCGTACATCGTCAAGAACTTGCCGACGGCACTCTTCATCAACCTGTCGGTCCAGTATGGCGCAGCGCCATATTTCCAGAGCATTTTTCCAATGGTCCACCAACTATCTCCTGAGTGGACGATCACAACAAATTCCTGGCCATTCCAAACGCCGAGGTCTGGTAGGTCGAGTTGCTCCGCAAAATCTCTAATATTTGTAGAAAGGTTGAAGTCTTCCATGGCCTTGACCATTATATGGTTGATTTGTACGAAGATGGAACCTCCAAGCTCGATGGAAACAGTCTTGTCATCCCACGGATGGACAGTCGTGGTGCGACCGCCAACATAACCGTTGCGCTCGAAGACGGTAATGTTTGTAGGTGTCTTCGCTTCGGCGGCATACTGGGCAAGATGGTAGGCAGCAGATGAGCCAGCTGCTCCAGCACCTGTTCCGAGTCAGCTCTGGGTAGTTTTTGTTTGAGTACGCAGCATACCTATGATGGCAACCTGCTTTGGGCGAGGAGGCGCATCGCTGGTGGTGAGAGCGCCTGCGAGCGGCAATAGCGGAGCAACACGCAAGAACCGCATCGTATTGATCTCGTACTTTGGTAAGAAGTAGCGATGATGAACCAGTTCAAGATATTTATTAGGGAACTAGAAGAATAAGGGGCTTCAAGTATGCCCGCAGGTCATTGTAGTATCCAAGTAGGCTGAACTGACGAGAGCAATGACGAGGCTGGGGGAGCAGGGATCAGCCACTGTCAGCAGCGACGATGCACCCCGTAGCAAACCTACTGTAACGCCATTAGGGGATCTTTTGAAACATCTTGAGTGAAGGCTCGTCTGGAATGCTTCGGCCATGTTCATCCCCATGCAACGTAATGAACACGTACATTGAGACGTGTCAAAGCTGGCCCAACAGGGTGCGCGTTTTCACGTGCGCGCTCGGATTCCCTGCAGGCGGAGTGGAGTTAGACATGCGAAGCTATTACTAACTCCGCGCCATTTTGGAGAGCACACAAAGGATGAAGTACCGAATGAATATTGGAGAGTTGATTTGAGAGGAATCTAACAATGAAATAAACTCAGAAACAAAGTCTCGTATGAAATATGCCGAAAGAATAATAACCGTTCAAACCCCTGGCGCCGTTAATCCAACCTGTACTTGTGCATCGCTCATCATAAATATCGTGAGATGGCCATCACCCAGGCAGCAGTCTGCCTCGAGCCTTACACATTTACCGGACATTACATTACTTCCTCATCCCATCATCATATGGCAAACTTGACTGTCCGCCTCGTCTCTACTTTCTTCATGGACATTACTTCGCGCTCGACTGTACCTTCTCTCGATGGCGTAGCCCTGACGCCTCTAAGGCGTCTTTCGCTACGCCTGGCTCTTGCTTCTCTAGTCTCTCTTAATTTCCACTCGTTCAGTTGTTGTCGTCGCTTTTGCGACCTCGCATAGGCTAGAGCGGGTGTAGGCTTGAATCCAATACCGTTGATGCCGGTACCGTCATCATCGGGGTCAGTTGACGGGTCAACAAGGTGCCCCGTGATCTCGCTGTCCTGCCACGTCAACGTCGACGGTGGGGGCGTCGGCGACCTTTTTCGTGGATGAGAACGTGAAGGAGAGTCGTGGTGCGCGTGAATCTCATGGTCTGCAGATGCATGTGGTTGCGCGGGTTTGCTTGCAGGTGATGAGGCGAAAATGGTGGGTTGCGCAAAGGAGGCGATATCTGGCAACAAGCGGGGCTGTGATGACTGAGGGGTCTCTGGTATTACCCTAGAGGACTCGGCCACGGGCGTACCAGTACCAATATCAAAAGCATCTCTATTGTTCTTGCTGTATTTTGTGGGAGTTTCCTGCACAGACTCAGTGCTCGGTCCGACAATACTGTCGACTCTGGTAGTATCGAGCTTCGGCCTCTTGCGTAGGACATCGTCGGTGGGGGTAAGCGGGGATAGTGGTATCGCCGCAAGTGCTGTCAGGGTCATGTCTCGCAGCTGGTCGGCGACAGCATTTCGTGGGCTATCACCGCCAGACGACGGGGCCGAACTGTCTCGTGGGCGTGATTCCAGTGCTGGACGCAGAGCCAAGGCCGTGTTGAGTAAAGGGATGGGCGCGGGCTGGTCGCGTTTGCGCTTGGGAGATGGGTGCGCCAGTTGTGTAGGCATTTCGCCGGTGGAAAGGGTCCAGAGTTACATGGATACTATTTGTATCGAGGGCAAAAGTACTCTTTGTCTTGTTGGTGTTGTTATTGTGGTTGTCGGGGCGAAAGAAGACGAGTCCAATTCCCACATGATCTCGCTGTTGGCTACGCGAATGTGGGGCCTGCGCACGAGCCCTGGTCGGCCGTAGGGCTGAGGCAACCCTGTCCTGCATCCAACTATCGCGTGGCTATCGAATGCAGACCAGACCCGCCGTCCATCACCGATATTGTATCTTTTGGTGGGTGGGTGTGTGTGTGGATATGTGTGGATTGAGAACATTATCTGCTCACTTAATTCTGCCAGCTCATAAATATCGGCCTGACGTAAACGGACTAGCTTATGTCGCGTCCGCCTCAGCTGTTGCCTGATAGTTGTCTGCAATCACTTCTAGTCACCTCTCTCTCTCTCTGGCCTAGGCCTCTTTCACTTGTCATCGTGCATGCAACACTTTTGAAGCGTCAATATCCCCTCCTCACCTTCACCCAGTCGCCATTATGGAGCAACAATCCATCCTCTCGTTCTTGACTACATCAAGAGCTCCCCAACGCTCTTCACGACCACAAAACTCACGCTCAGGTCACCCTTATCAAGATAACTCCAACTCAGAGTCCCACAAAAAACACCATTCCAAAGGCAAAAAGTACCCCAATAATAAACACCGCGGTCCCAATCATCGGCGCAACATGGATCTCGCAAAAGTCGCGGACGAAACCAAGGCCGTCCTCCCAGACATCCTAGCAGACATTCCCAACTTCGACGCAACCAAATCCTCCCTCAACAAGCTCGATGACACAGATGCACTCTCCCCTGCAGACTGTCCCGGTTTCAAATCCAAAGCGAGCATAAAAGTCCTAGACATGGACTCCTTCGACGCAGCCCTGCACCTCGATCCCACCTACACCGTCCAAAAACACCTAACCTCCTCACCTCCCAACTCCGTCCTCGTCCTCAACCTTGCCTCGGAGCGCTCCCCCGGTGGCGGCTGGCAAAAAGGCGCCCTAGCCCAAGAAGAATGCCTCTGCTACCGCTCCTCCCTCTCCCTCTCCCTCTCCCGCTCTTTCTACCCCCTTCCCACCCTTTCCGCAATCTACACCCCAAACGTCGTCCTCTTCCGCGATTCCATGCCAAATGGACATGCCCTTTTCCCCACTGCGCAGTTGCAGGATGCGTCGAGTCTACCAGCGGTATCCGTTGTTAGCGCTGCTGCGCTGCGGAAGCCCGCGTTGTCGGACGACAAAGCGACGTTTAAGCAATTGGGTGCTAGGGCGGCTACGAAGAGGAAGATTAGACTTGTACTCCGGATAGCGGCGCGGAACGGACACAGTAGACTGGTCCTGGGTGCGCTGGGTTGCGGTGTTTTTGCCAATCCGGCTGAAGACGTCGCACAGTGTTTTGCAGAGGTGTTTGATGAGGCTGAGTTTCAGGGTGGCTGGTGGGAAGAGGTTGTATTTGCTGTGTTGGACAATGTTAGTAGTGCGAGTGGGGAGGGGGGCCAAAATGGAAGCGGGAATTTTGGCATGTTCTATAGGGGGCTGCACGGGAAGGTGGTTTGATAGTATGGACATTTCCTTTTGGACAGGGTGGTTCAGATCTGGAAAGTTGACGATATGGCGATAAGGAAGTGGAGCAAAATATAGCATAAGATAGAACACTGATATGTAAAGTGTCCTCTCTATGAGATGATATTCTTAATGCATCTCTTTCTAATTGATATGGTTCTGCACGTTCACAGTATTAAGATGTCTCCTGGTTGGTATCTATATACCATGTAGGCATGTGCACAAGAAAACACGACAAACGCAAAAAGGCCATCTATTGGGCCCAAAAACAAGAAGAAGAAGAGAAAAAGAAAAGAAAAGGCTAAATGACCACACAGCACAACACTACCCTGACCCTCATGATTTGAACGTTTTGCTCCGGCCCGCAACCTCCTTTTGCGCCCTCGGTAATCCCTTTGGCGCATCCGCCATGCCTGCAAATGCTGTGAACCCTGCCTTCTTCTTCTTTTTGTCTTTCTTGTCCTTCTTCTTCTTTGCTTTCGGGTCCTCATCTTCGGCATGCAACACCGACTTGGCATTTGCGTAGTCGAAAACAGCCTCATCACCATTGAGTGCTGCAGCTTGAGCGGCTGCTTCCTCTTTCTTCTTTTGTTTCCGTGCAGCTTTCTTCGCCGCCTTTTCTCGGGCTTGTATGGCTTCTGGGCTTTCTTCTGGTGCGTCCAGCATAATTTCATCCCGCGTCATTGGATCGAGAGACTGTACAGAAGGTGCTTGCTCTTGAGCGTCACCTCGTTTTCGCTTTTTTCCTCCACCCAAGTGCTTCACAACAAAAGTGTCGGTTCGTTGATCTTCTGCTGGTCTCATCTCCTTTGGTACAAAGGTATGTTGTGGTTTCTCGGCCTTTGGTGTCGATGCAGCGGTTCCGTTTGCGTCGGCAAAGACTTGTGCTGTCAGAGGTGGCAGGGGAAGGGCAAGGTCAATATCGATTGTAGAGAGATTTTGCGTTGGCCGCGAGGCCTTGTCCTCTTTCCACAGCTTGCCCCAGAACTCTGAGCCTGGAGCTCGAGCAGCAGAGGTATGAATCGCTCGGGCTAGTGACGTGACTTGGTTAACTGGCGCTGGAGTCTTCTTCACTGTTTCTGCTGCAGTTTCTGATCCAGCTCTTTCTGCTTTTAGCATGTCTTCAATTGTCTGAAGTGTTGTGTGCAATTCTGGCCCATGTAGACCTTCTTTCTTGGCCTCTACAACTACGCCAACAAGCTCTTCTGCATGGGATCGGATAATGTGTGAAACGTGTTGTATGGCGTTGAAGAGTGCGGCCTTGTCCGCTGGCATTGCGCGGGCTACGGAAAATACGGCGTGATTTGGCATGATAAATAGCGGGCTCTCATCTTCTTTCCTTCCGAGATCGTCCCTCCATCTATGCACCGCTCGGAAGACGGCAAATTGCTCAGGAGTAAATTGAACCGGGGTTCGCGAGATAAGCTTATACCAGCCACTGGATCCAAGTCCTGTTTCGCTGTCGTAGATAGGGTGTTCATAGCGTTGTAACGATGTCTCCTTAGATTTTTCAAGTACATCCTGGACCTTGTTCTTGTCGGGGTCCGAAAAGTCGGACTTCTCAATCAGCTCATTGCGCATGTTGTCGTAGATGTAGAGAAGGAAATGGGTATCTGCGCGTGCGTATTCGAAGAGCTCTGGACTGAGCGGTCTTATGCGCCAATCTGCAAGTTGGTATTGTTTCTGGGCTGTGAACTTGACGTGTCTCTCAAGCAAGTAGGCTAGACTGGCTCCAGGATAGCCCAGTGCTCGGGCAGCATGGTAGGTGTCGAAGAGGCCAACAATGTAGAGTCCCAGATCGCGCTGCAGCCACATGATATCCATGTAAGCACCATGTAAAACTTTGAGAATGCTGGGATCCGCAAAGACTTCATTCAAGCACTCCAACTTCCGCCGCCAAGGTTTCAGTGTATCCACTATCCAGTCCTTGTCGCGAGTACTTATCTGCATCAAAGAAACCATGCCAATATAGGAACGATTGTCATGGTGTTCAAGATCCACGGCGATTTCCTTTGCTGTCTTCAGCTCAGAGAGCATGGTAGCCAGCGCTTCAGGCGTGTCGACTAGGGTTGCGGTTGTAGATTCAAAAGGCTTATATTGCTGCGGCTCGGCGTATTCGTAGACACTTGGTGGGTATTCGTACTCTTCGATTTCGGTTTGATAGGGATGCGGGTATCTGCACGGGATGTTAGCGTATAGAATTGCCATGGTACTTTTTGTCCTACTGTTCCCTTCCGCGCTTGTCCCTGAATGTCTTCAGACATTCTTCCAAGGGAATCTTCGCGTGTGGCTTGGATGTGACCAGTGGACGGAAGCCACCAGTCTCGTCGTTAGTCGGCACGTGCTCAAATTGGAGCTGTGGCTTTGGAATGATCTTTCTGTCGGCAATGTTGGGACGGGGCTTTACAGCGGCCTGTACACGGGTCAGACAATGGGCCTTGCTTTGGGCACACATGGCTGGAGATCCTACCTGTTCGCCAGCTGGGCTCAACCGCTTGACCACGCCGGTGTACTCATCCAGACTGGTATCGGCCTTCTCAAGCAAGCTGTCGATGACATCAACAACCCCCCTCCAATTGGCGTCTATGGCCTCCACATCGGGTAGCTTGGGACCTACAGCGTCCGAGCTCGCAGCAGCATTCTGGAGAAGGCGCTGCGCGAGGTGAAGGAGGCGCGCATTTTGGGCGTCCAACTGGGTGCCAGCCTCGGGGTTCAGTGACCTTTGAAAAGGGATGTCCGCCTTGCCAATGGCAGCGGCAGACCTGGTGGTTGGTTTGAGCGCGGCCGAGATCTCTGTCTGCAGTGTTTTAAAAGAGTCCATGGCGTTCCTCAGTATGCGTTCATTCTTCTGGACGGGTTTCGATAGCGTGGGCTCTGGGGGCAGCTCACTTTGACGTGGCGCGATGGGTTGGCGTGGAAAGGGTGCGCGTGTCGCAAATGGTTTGATGGAAGAAACCTTCAAATGATTTCAGAGTTAGCGCGCTTTGCTTATCGATAGCCAGGACAGTAGCTGCAACCTTCACTAGGTCCTCCGCATGCTGCTCCGGCCCACCCATCTCACAAGCATACTACAAAAAACATGTCAGCCTCATTAGCACCGGAATGCAACCAAGTCAAGGAGTGGGCATTGCATCTTGTCGTGGTGTTGCAGTCATTATGCTGACATTTGATAGGCGCTACGACAACTGCTTCCTAAAGTGGTACAGCGAGAGTACGTCACGCATCCATTGCGACTGGGAACTGGCCCTAATTAACATCTGCACAGAGTTTTTGCGTGGCACTGCTACAACTGATGACTGCAAACCCATCTTTGAGCAGTACGAAAAATGTCTTTCTGTCCGTACATGTGCCCATGAGGAACTGCACTGCATCTAATATGATCTACTAGAGAGCGCTGAATGAACGAGGCATTGACAAGATGCTTAAAGAAGTGCGCGAAGACAACAAAGAAAACGATGCCGAGCATATGAAACCTGTAAGTGTTGACCTATTCATGTCCGAAGTGTAATCTGATCAAGGCTCCAGAGTCGATGAGCATTGGAACATAGATACTAGTCCGTCCTGGTAGCATTTTTCCTTTCGCTTTTCAACTACCTCCACACTCCAAAATTTATCATGTTCACCAACATCCGGCCAGGGACTTTGTCCATGAACGTATCCGGAGATTTGATTTTTTTAGACTCGGTGCCAAGGTGCAAATATTCACCGACCGGCCGGACAGTGTCAACGCCAGCTTGGCCTCTTTGTACTATACTGTAGTCTTGGCATACCTATCTCATCTATATCTCTCATGCAACCAAGATATTTTAATGCCGATTTGCTAGATTCACACCTGTACAATGCGCTAAGCTTGCCCGTGACGACATGGGTCCCGAACCGCATTTGTTTCGGACCTACTATACCCAATCCACTTTAACAGTACACTAGTTTATAAAGCTGCTCTCTTTCGCACCTGTCCTTGATGGTTTACTGTTTGCATACCTGTCCCTCTCTCGAAAATGGCAACTAAAGTCGGTCTCAGCGTGCCAATGCCGCTCCTTGCTCCTGTTACTGCCACTTGGGCAGCTCCCTTCGCGGCCTACTACCTCTTCCTTCAACAGCGCATTGTAGCGAAGCGGTTTGGCACCAAGACGTAAGCCAAAGCTGATTGATATGTAAAGATTGCTTATAGACTAATCCTGGCGAAAGTGTTTTGGGTGATAAGTCGGGCGCACCTCAAGGTGCACACGACCCTCTCTTTGTGGACACACGTGCGCAAGCCAACTTTGTCGAAAACGTACCATTCATACTCTCAATTGCACTTCTTGCTGAGCTCAACGGAGCCAACAGGTAATTCTACCACGCCGATGTATGATTATGTTGGATTTAACCAGAGTGCTAGGACTTACCTCAGCTACGCTCTTGGTGCTCTTTTTGCTCTCCGTGTCGGCCATGTTGAGCTTGGCTTGCGGGCGCCCAGCGGGAAAGGTCCTGGAAGACCGCTTGGTTTTGTCGGCACTCAGGTGATATTAGCTGGGCTCGCTGGATATGCGGCGTACTTGGTCAAGGACTACTGGACCGTCTAAGCGACGAGTGCAACGATGTTAGGATGGCCCCGGCATTTGTAGGTTTCAGAAATACATGTTGTTAGTGAAAAGAAAGTAGAATTAAATTTACTTTTCGTGAAGACATGCAAATGTGTACATAAGCAGGCGACGAACTCCAAGCCACATGTGAGATGCAAGCGCATTACGTAGCTGCGGCGCCAAGGCTGTTCTCTACACGCTGTGGAGGAGCTGCTCTCCCCGTCCCCACCAAATCTCTGTGTACACGATATTGATTCCACCAGATTCCACAGACGCGTCCGAACACATCTGAGTCTCCGAACCAGCCGTCGCTATTGATTCGACGTCTCATTTTTAAACTTGCCCCGCGGCGCAATGGAGGCAGCGTCTGCGCGCATGGCAACCCGCGATCGCTACGGCATATACGGAGAGGCACCGACTTCACAACTGCAACGCTATATATGTACGAAACACATGCCGCACCTATGTGGATGATTCTGATACAAGAGGCGCAGTGCAAGCATGTGATCCGCAAAACTTTGAGCCCAATCTGGCCCTGAATCTCGAGATCACCGACCTGATCAACAGTAAGAAAGGCACAGCGTAGGATCGGAGACACCCAACCACTACACATGCACAACCCTAATGACTCTCCAGGCCCCGAGAAGCGGCCGTCACAATTGTACACTACGTCAATCACCGCAATCAGAATGTCGCCCTCCTCGCGCTCAACGTATGCTTATGATGCCCCGCTTTGAAACAGCATAGCTCACCATATCACAGCTTCTCGACATATGTGTCAAGAATTGCGGCTACCCTTTCCACCTCCAGATCAGCACCAAGGAATTCCTCAACGAACTTGTCCGCCGTTTTCCCGAACGTCCCCCTATCCACTCGTCGCGAGTGCAGAACAAGATTCTCGAGCTCATAGAAGAATGGCGGCAAACCATATGCCAGACGTCGCGCTACAAGGATGACTTGGGCTTCATTAGGGATATGCACAGGCTGCTGAGTTATAAGGGATACATCTTCCCGGAAGTTCGCAAAGAAGATGCCGCAGTGCTCAACCCGAGCGATGTATGTGCATGAAATTGTTCATGATAGTCTCGTATTGCTGACGATGCGTAGAACCTCCGATCAGCAGAAGAGATGGCAGAGGAAGAACGGGAGGCGCAATCGGCAAAACTGCAAGAGTTGATCCGTCGCGGTGGACCTGCAGACCTGCAGGAAGCCAACAAGCTCATGAAAGTCATGGCTGGATACGATACCCGAAACAAAACCGATTGGCGGGCAAAGGCTGCCGAAGAGGTTGGCAAGATACAACAAAAGGCTAGAATCCTAGAGGAAATGCTGCAAGGCTACAAGCCCGGCGATCAGATCAAGGAGGGAGATGTTTTTGAAGTATGTCCGCAACAATGGTGGTATATGACGGCCGTTATTTGGCTAACCCATGGCAGGAGCTGGCCAATGCCCTTCAGAATGCGCAACCTAAAATCCAGAAGATGTGCGAGGAGGACTCCGAGGATCACGAGGCCGTGGCGAAACTCTTTGAAATCAATGACAGTATACACCGAACGATACAGAGATACAAGCTTTTCAAAAAGGGAGATATTGAGGCTGCAAACAACATCCCTCAGGGAACGCTTGGTCGCAGCGGTGCGGGAGTATCTCAAGGCCCCAACAACACATTAAACCTGATTGATTTTGGAGATCCAGAACCTACACCACAAGCAGGAGCATCATCACAGGCTCAGCAACAAACACCAGCTGCAGGCAACGCACTTGAAGATGATTTATTGGGCCTATCATTAAGTGGAGAGGCCTACGGACAATCTGGTAGCATAGCTCTGGGCGGTTCAAATGGTTCAGGTAAGCGGATTTATTCGAATTTTTGGTTATTATTACTAACATTACTCAGTTCTCGGTCTATCTGGCATGGCGGCGCCGCAAAAGGCAACCAACCAAGCCATAACCGACCTCTTCAATGCAGGACCAAAGTCAGCTCAACCGCAAGTAGCATCGCCCCCTCCATCTTCCTTTTCAACGCCTCCCCCACAGCCGGCTCGCACACCAGACCCATTTGCTGCTCTCGCCTCTACCTCTCGACAAGCCTCACCCTTCCAGTATCAACAATCTGTTAAGCCACCAGCTGCTGCTTCTGGTGCGATTGATCTACTAGGCGGTGGCGTCGTCGCCGCGCCGGCAGCAAATCTCGCACAAAGCATGGACACCGCTAATGATGACGACGAGTGGGATTTTGCTTCATCTGTACCTGATACCTCGAAGGAATTGACTGTTACTAACACGAGCATCAACGTTCTTTTCAACATTTCGAGAGAAACAGACACAGTTCTGCTAATCCAATCACGGATATCCAACAACACTCCTCTGCCAGTCTCTGGCTTGACGTTCCAAGTGGCTGCCTCAAAGGTAAAATTGAACCATGAGTTCTGACTTTGTGTTGCTTGCTAACAAACTGTAGGGTGCCCAACTGCAGCTTGAACCCCAATCAGGCGTCAATCTTGGGCCCAACCAGAAATTCGGCATCACACAAAACATACGCGTGAACAATGTCCAAAGAGGTTCGGGCAACAATGTGAAGATGAGGTGGAAGGCTTCGTACTCTCTTGGAGGACAGCAGAAAAACGAGATGGGTGAGATTACGAGCCTTGGAGTTCCATAGCCATTGTGATAGAAAAGATGCGTTGTTGCTTTGCGAAGGGCGCTTACCTGGGCTTTCACGGTGGGGGTGGTGAAAACGAAGTTTGGCTTGCTCTGAAAAGATATCCTTCAGCTCATAATATCGTTTTTTATTAGTTGCATGGTACTCTGTAGGTCATGGATAAGCGTGAACGACGTCACCACGCTAGCGCCACTTATCGATTACAAAGTTATTCCACACCCTTGCCCCTCCGACCTTGTCGACTCACTCGTCGCAAATCAGACTCGCCACTGTACCTCGAATTTCAAACCCTCACAAGCCAAGATGGTCCGCCACAAGAAAGATTTCAAGGGCAACAATAAGTTCAAGAACCCCGCCAAAGCACGCCCTACCCCTCGCCCGCGCCGCGCCTCGGACGAAGAGGAGAATGACGCCGCTAACCCAAGGCCTGCTAAGCCTGAATTCAAGGCTGCATGCTGGGATCTCGGCCACTGCGATGCGAAACGATGTTCGGGCAAGAGGCTCATGCGCCTAGGCATGATGCGTGAATTGCATGTGGGACAGAAGTTTGCGGGTGTGGTGGTGAGCCCAAAGGCAAAGAAGATAATAAGTCGCGAGGACAAGGAATTGTTGGAGCAATATGGCGCTGCTGTAGTGGAAGCGAGCTGGAACAGGATAGACGAGGTGCCTTTTGGCAGGATAGGCGGCAAATGCGAACGCCTACTTCCTTACCTTGTTGCGGCAAACCCTACCAATTACGGCCGGCCATGGCGACTAAATTGCGTCGAAGCGTTGGCGGCATGTTTTTACATTTGTGGTCACCCTGAGTGGGCTGAATCGATCTTGTCGACCTTCTCGTACGGCCAGGCATTCTTGGACATTAACGCCGCCTTGCTTAAGCGCTACCTGGCGTGCGAAAACGAGGAGCAGATCAAGAAAGCTGAGGAGGTATGGCTTGAGAAGATTGAGCGCGAATACAATACAAGCAGGACCGAAAAGGAGGAAGGCGCCGAGGAAGATGAGTGGGCTGGAGGAAACATGAATAGGCGTGTTATTGACGAGTCGGATGAAGACGAGGACGAGGACGGAGAGAGCGGTGAAGACGAGGACGAAGAGGAGAACAAGATCGATCCCAGGAATCCCTACAACATTCCAGAGTCCTCGGATGACGAAGAGGAAATGGCAGAACTGAGGCGTCGTGTGCTTGCCTCCAAGCCATTTGCTAATCCCACAAAGAAGGACGAAGATGACGAAGACGAGGATGAGAAAAAAGCACCCAAACGTATACCCATGACTGAGCCTTTGTCAAAAAATGGAGTTCCTACAGACGAGGACGACAGCGAGCCAGGAGAAGGTGACTCGCAAGATGATGAGTTTGATAGTTTTATGGCTGCACAGCCTACAACCGACCGCACTGGAATTGAGAGCAAGCAGAGGATGAAGGCCATGGACAACAAGTACAAGGCTACTTTCTCAAGTGGAAGTGTAAAGGCACCTAGTGGACGGGGATATCACTGATCACATGATGAGCATGTGTCCAGATCTATACTGTATGAGGATACAAAAGAGTGCCTAGAGGGTTGAAACCTAGGCTTGAATGTAGATCTGTCTTGTTCAAGATGGCAGCTTTTCAAACTAAGGTAGTTGTGATTCTCTAAACTGACACTTGGTTTCCTCATTAGAATGCCCAGATGAGTTGATGAGCCAAATCAAACAGGACCACGTCACAAGGCAAGATGGAGATGCGATGGGAGATTAAGAGTTTCATTTCTTCTATGGAGAAGAACGCCGATACATGCCAGCTCAAAACATTTCAAAAGGAAAAAAGAGAGAGATCATGATCTAGCACTAACCAAAGCTGCTTACATGCAAGCAGCACCGTCAATACCAATGACCTTTCCGTTGACCCAGTCACCGTCCTGGGAAGCCAGGAAGCAGACGACGCGGGCAATGTCTATTGGCTGGCCAACACGGTTGTGGGGGGACCACGTGCAGGCGTACTCGTCGACCTGGTCGTCGGAGAGCTGGTCACCGTTGGGAATGTACTCGCGGCAGACGGCGTGGTACATGTCAGTCTTGATGCCACCGGGGGCAACGCAGTTGACAGTGACCTTCTTCTCACCAGCGTCTGAAACAAATGATTAGCAAACCCGAGAATCCAAAGCCTGAAGCGGATAACGAGGACTTACCGACAGCCATGCACCTGGTGAAAGTCTCAATAGCACCCTTTGAGCCAGAGTAGACAGCGTGCTTGGGGACACCCTTTGCCTGACCGGTGATGGAACCCATGAGGATAATGCGGCCACCCATCTCCATGCGCTTGTACGCGGCCTTGGCTACGAAGAACTGACCACGGGTGTTGATGTTGAAGACACGGTCAAACTCCTCGGGGGTGACATCCTTGAAGTGGCCGAAAGAGACAACACCAGAGTTTGAGCAGCAAATGTCGAGCTTGCCAAAGTGCTTGACGACGTCGTCCATGAGCTTCTCAGACTCCTCGACGTTGCCGACGTTGGCCTTGAAGGCGTGGGCGTCGGAGCCGTTGCCGAGGGCCTTGATCTCCTTGACGACTTGCTCGGCACCCTCGACGGCGTTGGCGTAGTTGACGGCGACTTTGGCGCCACGCTTGGCGAGCTCAATGGCCATGGCCTTGCCGATACCGCGGCCTGAAGGTGGTTTGGTCAGCTTTGATGAACGAGGTATACTGTTCACTGCTAATGATGTCTTACCTGAGCCGGTGACGACGGCGACCTTGCCGGCGAGGCTCCATGTTTGCTCGATGTTGGCCATTGTGAATGTATTGATTTGGTGATGAAAGACAAGAAGTCTATTGTTTGTTGTAGTAAAGCTGTAGAGAAGAGAAGCTGTTGATGATGTGATGATATTCTGTTTCTACGGTCAAACAATGCCTCATATATACCTCACAGTTCGCCATCCGGAACTCCAGGCGGAACAAAAATGGCCTTTGGCCATGAGGTACCTCTGCTCTCCATTGCAAAGAACCGTCGCTGTTTCCCCCTCCATCACCCAGCTACTACTGTTTTCCCCCACCACCATCTCACACTGCCCTCCCGGGTCCGGCACATCGCTCTCGCCCCCAAAGATCGTGGGTCCTAGGGCTGAAACTGCGAGTGTACCTGCGCCCGCACGCGGTTCCGTGGTGACAAGTCTCCGTAGGAGAGCCTGAGCCTCAGGGCACGAAGTCCGGGAGGAGGGGCCGAAGTGCGAAAGATGGCATGTCCGTTTTCTCATTGGATGATGGGTTAGGCCCCCCCGATTACATGCAACACCAAAGTTTCCAGCAACTCTGTTGCTCCATGAATCAGGGCCATTAATTGTACGGAAATAGAAAAAGCTTTTCTTAGAATGCGGTAACTACGGGTCGTGTTTGAGAGTGAATTGTAGAGAGTAATTGCGATACGTGAATCTCCTTGTCTCTCTCTCTCTCACAGAGATTGTCTAGACGGAAGTGGGGAAAACCTCGTGTTACTTGGTGCGACAGCCCTGTAGGATCGTAGTATCTTACCTCCGCAGTCTACGGGACTCCGTTATCGAGGCATTGTCTTGGTGAACGCATCCACCGAGGGTCCTCCGTCTCTTACCGGTACAGCCCTGGGAATCCTACTACTACTCACAATGTCATGTGATCACTGCATAGCGCCATGTAGTGGTAGTCCGGTAAGCTCACCAAGACCCGGCATCATGCTTCACCCAGTAGTAGTGCCGTCAAGCCAGAGAGCTGTTCAAAACACAAGCTCATGGCTCCCCATGCATCCACGCTGATAGGCCGCCGTTCAAACCAGCAAGCTCTTGGTATTCGGGTCAAAGGGCTCCGGCAAAAGGCGCGAGAGTCGTGCAATTCGGCAACGGTGATTGTTTCTCCTCTCCACAGCCTTTGGTGTCGCAATGCAGTCGAAAAAGTGCTGGGTGGACTAGCTGGCAGCTAGTAGCGATGCCGGCGGCGGGCCCATGGCGGGGATCCGCGGGCTTGTAGGCCAACTCCACCCCCCGTCCGTGCATGTCCACCTCACTTCATGTCTTCAGCACGCCGTGTGCTGGTGGGTGATTATGTTTTTTCGGATTGCTGACTGCACCCTTTTTTTAATACTCATTTTCTTAGTACTTACGCCTATCTTGAGTTATTGGATTCATGTGTGTAAATTGGGATTGCGCCCGAATACGAGGGACTACGAGGGCTTAGTGGTACAAAGATTGGGCTGGACTGTTATCATCCAGATTACAGAGGCATGGAAGATGGTAGGAAAGGCAATGGATATGCTACGTGACGTGGCCGGCATCTTCATCTTGCGTTTGGTGGGTGTCCAGATGCTGTCGCTGGTGTTTTGACGACAGCAATACAGCGATCTCGACATTGTGATTATCCTCAGGAAATGTCATTGGTTCTCGAGCGTATACCATGCGTGGTCATCACGCGGGAGTATGTCACTTCGACGTGAATACTGTCAACACCTCGCTCCAGGATCCGCGGAAGTATCTGCAGCCTTGTATACAGGCTCTGGTGCAGAAGCATGCGTAAAGGCTGATGACCATACAAAAACGACATAGGGTTTACCATAATATGAAGGATCCGGAAAGGGAGTATACAGCGTTGTGTGCCCATGCTGTGTAATACAGGATATCACTTAACAAGATGGCAACCAAATATTGGCTTTTGTACCACGTCGTACCAGACCGTACTCTATGTAGCACGCAAACGACTCGCCAATTACACCGCATCACTTTTTCAGCAATAACAAACCACCCACCAACCATTCAGAACCTCGCTTCACTATTGTCGAATTGCACACACAACCCGTTGAAAGCGGATGTACCCTCCCAAAAACGTCTCACCCAACGTCTTCGTGGTGTCATGCACGCTACACAACCAAGATACTTTCGCTCTCCCCTCCACCCGTAGCACCCGCTATCCCCCATTCCTCAGAGAGAAAGAGAGAGAGCAAGAAAACGAGGGTCCCACCGATAAACGCAGTTCACGATTCAGTCCCCCGCCTAACCATCCATCCTGTAACAGGTATATCCCGGAGTCGATCACGGTGTATACCTCAAATCCATACCGTTTACCCATACACCGGTAAACGCCCTCGTGTATACCCACCCCTACTTACCATCCCCACTTCCAAACTCACTCCAAGCCCATCTACCATTGCAAAAGTGAATACACGGAATTTCCCCCCAACTCCATCAAGAAAGTCGTATGTTAGTGTAGAAATGGAAAAAAAGCTGCGTGATACACGTAATCTAACTACCAACGCTCCCCCCCTCCCCCTTTTTTTGCCTTGGTCATCCTGCTTCCTGCTCTTCTTCTCCGCAATTCCCCCAAGCAAAAACAGCCCATTTCGGACACGACCCGATATGCGCCGCCCGGTACTCCGTCCACCAACACGCCCAATGCCCATGCGTCGCGCGTCCTCGGCTAGCCTGCGGGGCGGGCAAAACCGCAGCGATCTGCGCCGGGGGGGAGGGGGGAGGAGGAGGGCATAACCTTACGTCTGCTTTATGCCGATACGATCTCTTCACACATGTACAACTGCTAACTCGTTTTTTTGAGGGGAAGTAGCGGAGGGGAAGGCATGAGGGCGTTGGGGAATACAAAATGTACGTACGTACGTTTGCTTGTGTTTTACTCATAGTAGGAATTTACGATTCATGTTATCTTCGGTCTTCTGGGAAAGGAAGGAGGGGGAGGTGTGGGCACGGATGGTAGTTGGGCTGGGCAAACGGCGGCGGCGGCGGAGGAGGAGGACGGTGGGAGTAATGTCCGACTTGCCGACCGTTTGTTTACTGCTACTATATTTTCTTTTCCTATTTTATCTTGTGGGGAGAGGGGGGGACATAGTAAAGAGGTGGGGAAAATACGGACTTAATGGCGTTGGATGCCTTAGTACTGGTAGCAATTTTTCTTGCTTGGGCCTAGTAGAAAGCTTAGATGCAGGAAGTTAGTCCTCTTTTCTCGCTCTTTCTCTTTCTCTCTGTCCATCGGAGATTGAAAACGGGAAATGGCCGGTGGGTGAGGGCGGGCCGGTGGGCGTTCTGCGTGTTCGCTTCTTTTCTTCTTCTTTGTTGTCGTGTTGGCTGGAATACCTACCGTACGTACCACGGGGATTGGAATGCGGGCAGCCGTGGTCTTGGCGTTGTGTTGTCGTGGGTTATTTAGCGTGCAAGATGCAAGAGAGAGAGAAAGAGAAGGCAGAGTGACGAAATCGTGTATACGTAGCGTTTTTTGCTGCTCGCTATTTTACGAAGAGGCGACGTTAGCTGGCTTCATCTCTCTAGGTGCGTGGGGGGTGCTAGGCAATTTGTACACGAAGAACGACGTCAGAGGGAATGCCCAGGCATAGACTTGAAAAGACGCGTGGTCGCTGGATGCCAGAGAGAAAAAACAGCCAGTCAGCTTTGACCTTAGCCAGCGTATCCCAGGATGGTTTTTGAACGCGTAAGCTTTGATGCCAAAAGCAGGCTTCATGCAGCAAAGCACAGGTTGTCTGTTGCCCTCCGGGGAGATTTATTCTCTATGCATACCATTTTGGTTGACACCGGAACATCATTACTGCATATGAAGCCCGTAATCAACTAGATATGCCCAGTAAAAGTATGTAGTGTAGGTTGGTGCTGCGTTCGGTGAATGACATGGGCATTCTCCGATCTGCAGTCTCCCAGAGAGTTAGCCGGCATCAAGTGGGCGGGTGGTTGTACTATCCAGTTGGTTGGGTTTCTTTGCAAACGACCAATACGGGCGTTGGTCCAAGTTATCCGGAAAGATTGCTGACTGGGGTAGTGGATCGATCAACAAACAGACTCGCTAGTACAGTGTGGGTAGTGGAGGGATGAGGCGGGTGTCTTAATGGTGTGACGACGTGTGTACCCGAGTAAGTAGCGTAGCGTAGCGTCCGGGAAGAGGAGAGGCGAAAAATGATCTTGGTAAAGGATCGAAGAGGGGGCGGAGGGGGGGACGTGCCTTATGACGCCTTGCCTCGCATTATGCTCCACACAAGTGTCTCGTCACTAACGCTTTGAAAAGAGGGGTGAAAAGGTTGCAGGTAAGGTTCTTTGTCCGGAACCCAAGTGCGTTTCTCGCCCCTTTTCACCGATCCTTTGCTGGATTTATATACCCCGTGCTGCTAGTCAGTTCACTGCCAAACCGTGATCCAAATCTCATTGTCGACGGTATCCCAGAGACTGATCAAAATGCCTACCCCATCTGTTCAAACGGCTGAGAAGGAACACCCCGCCGCCACTGCCGGTCTTGCCATACCCACATATGATACCACACGCGTCTCTTATTCGACCCCGCCAGCCATGAAAAGCCTCACAGCTACCCAAGACACCAATTACCACTCGTGAACCACCGACGCGCCCCATGCTTGGCCAACATGTATCTGAAACAGGTGAACGCCAAAGAAAAAGAAAATAACGCTCAAAAGGCATGTTTGCAGATGATCTAGAGCGTAAAAGTTCAGTTAAGGGTGTGGGCGAATGAACAAACGAGGAGGTATAAGAGTGCAATGGGGGAGCAATCAGCTCGACTGGCCATTCCTTTTGTGGAGTACGATACCGATTGATCAAAAATTCGTCGAAGCATTCCCACGTCTACGAATGAGATGCAAGAAGAGGAGGATGGATGGTCCAGGCAAATGAACATGGTCAGCTTTCCCTGCCAAAGACAATCAACACTGGTCTATACTTCACTGGTACCAACGAATATCCACCACATCTGATAATATGGAAGAGGGAGATGCATTGTCTGGCTGGAGCAACCATGTTAGGTACGTACGTCTTGTCGTAAGTAAACTAAGTTGAAAGCAAAGGTCGGCCTACTTACCGTCGTCAACCCTCCACGATTGAGACAATATGTCATATCATCACTGATTCTCATTCGATACGGCACCCCTCATCACCGGTCGCACTTGACACATGCATCGCGGACATCAATGCTCGTTCAAGGTTCGGTAAGTGTAATTCATCATCCAATTTATGTACCATACATTACTAACGTGCCCATTCTAATTGTATAGCACTGGCATTTGAGATGCCACTCGTTCCCAGCATAAGAAGGCCTCCAAGCCAGATTCCGAAATGAAAAAGCCGAGACCCGAAGCCAGAATAACGCCGTTGCGAATGCTCGGTCGAACGCCGAAGCGAACCACGTATACCGTCTTCCAGTCATCTCGAAATTATGCTGTGACGCGGAATACTGATGGACATGACATGTTCTAATACTGGAAAACAAAAAAAACGACACAACAGAAGATAAGACAACGCCGAAGACGCCCGCTAAGCACATTTCAACTCGCTCTGTGCGAGGATACGGCCGGAACATGAATGGAAAAAAGCAGAACTTATCGTATCTTCTAACCGCGTGCAAGCTTCTGCAGCTTGCTACGGATGCCGTCGGAAAATCTAGTAGCGACACCTTCATCAATAACATCAACGCAATGCGAGAGGACAGCGAAACCGTTGTCCAGAGGAACAGGTGTACCGTCACGCTTGGTAAGTGTAGGAATACCATCTCTTCGTGACATGTATCGCAGTATGGTAGGATGATCAGCAGGAAGACGATCAACTGAGAATGCAGCGTTGGGCGGTTGTTGCTGATACGCGTTTTGCTGATTGGGGCTCAGAGATTCTTTCTGAATCAGCGAGTCTGTCCAGACAATGAGAGCAGCGCGGTATACGGCGCCTGCCCACCATGGAGGGCGGATCCCTCGTGGCATGTCACGTATGAGACGGAGGATTTGGCCAGCGTGCGTAATGGCTTCTTGGACATCTGATAAACACTTCTTATGCATCCAGGCCATCTGCTGGTACGAACCATCGATGCCTTCGCGACGCGCAAGACGCTCTATTTCTGGAAAGTTGGATACAGCATTCATACTGATGAGGTGGAACATGACGAGGTTGGCTTGCATCATGGGGCAGATTGGATTGGCTTTCATGTACCGCTGGGCGAGATCGAACCAACGACCCAGCAGTGCTTGCACTTCTTCTAGGCGCACGCGCGTCGATGCCGCAGTGAGGGCCCGATTGCGCGATCGCGATGCTACGCTATCGGAGAAGCAGCTGAGGAGTTGGCAGTACTGACATACAAGGGTCTGCAGGGGATGCAACAGCAGACGCAAGTGCATGGGTGTAAGGTGGATCTCCTGCACGTCTTGAACAACAATCTCGTCATCCAGGAAGTAGCGGAAAAGATCTCGGAGGCTGGGTGGCCTCGCTCCTGAGCCCACAGACGAGTAACCGTTGGAAAACTCGTGTACTTGATTGAACATGTCGGACCACTCTGAAGCAGTTTGCGCTTGCCACAGACGATCGGAATCGGGCATGGGAGCGCCAAACTCGGTGACTGAGAACAGTGGCGCTGTGTCATGGAACAGTGACAGGTCTTGGTCGACCATAACCCAGGAGTAGATGAGGCTAGGGGTAACCATTAGTAAGTGGTGGCATGTGACTAGATCAGAGACTTACCGGCTGCGGCTTTCCTGCTGAAGCCAGTCCTTCCACAGTGAGTCCGTCGTCGATGTTCCATTTATATGAGGCGTTGACGGCGGGCGAACATCCAGGATGCCAGAATGTCGCAGCATCGAGAAATACATACCGCGCTGTCCCATGGCAATGTCCATCTGCCATTTGTCGCCACTCCACGCCGCTTGAACAGTGAAGAGAAGGGCTGCACGCAACACAATGGGGTCGCCGGCCATGATGATGTTCTTCTCAATGAGATCGAAGAGCGATATGCGACAGGCTTCGGTAAACCCACCAGTCAACCACCTTGCTTCTATCGATGGAATCGTCATGGCACCCTGTGCAATCATCATGAGGATGAGCAAACTCGATGCCTTGTCATTGTAGTTTTGCATCAGCTCATTCGTATCCAGCACTCCTCTTGCAGAGGTAGGATAGTAGCGTTCGAAAGAGTTGGCATATGACTTGAGAAAGTACTCTAGGACACGAGCAGGTGGCAGAAGAACAAAGTTGGAGTGGGAGGCGGTTGAGCCAGGAGACTCACCGCTACTCGTGGTGCTGCTTCCTTCTTTGTGGATGTCAAGAGCCTTGTGGAGGAAGCTCTGGGTGATGGCGAGGAGCTTGTCACGCGTCGACTCTTGCAACTTGGACACTGCTATGCGTCCTCCTTGCTGAAAGTCCGATTCATCCCATGAAGGGGTCCAGCTACTCCACGCTTCGTGGTTCTTCAGGCTGAGCTCCAGACGCTCAAGATTTAACCTCGCAGTGCGCGGGCAGGAACTCGAGGCAATGGAAGGAGTACAACGGAACACAGTCCAGCCATCTTGGGCGGCGATGATTGCACCCAAGTCAGGGACGCCTGCATCTGCTATAGAAGACTGTCTATTTGATGGGTAGAACATTGCGGCAGAACTACCAATTTGGAGGTCTGAAAAAGATTCGTCTACTCGAGGTGTTGGTGCGTGGGCGAACGTTTGTGCAGGCGACATTTCGGGTATCATCCCAAGGATGCCTTCTGGTGGAGGACCCATGGACATGTCCATGCCCATCGACATCATTAGTGATGGATCTAGTCTCATGGGGTCGAAACCGGTATCCATGGGCATGTTGTGCCATGGATCCATCATGAACTGTGGGCTCTCGTTGTCACCCTGGTCACGTACTGTCCGTACGAAGTCGTCGTATCCAGACATGGGCGTTGAAGAGACAAAGCTGTTCATGCCAGTGACTGGTGTGGGCAATGGCGAGAGAAGAGAAGGCGCTTGGGAGAGTGCGTGTGAAGGTGACTGGTCGAAGAATGGCGGTGTGTTGGTAAGCGGTAGATGGAGAGCCTTCTCCTCAGGGCTAATGTGTGACGGCGGCTGCACTGACTGGGAAATTGATGGGTTTCGTGAGTGAGATGCGGATGCTGATGGAGATTGAGATTGCCGTTGAGATGAGGGCTGGCCATTGGACAGCTGAGGTTGTGGCTGGATCTGAGAAGGAGAAGACTGGGCAGTCGGCTGTTGTGATTGCGGTTGAGATTGAGATTCATGGTTGGGAGAAGTATTGCCTGAATTATTTTGGTTCTCGGTGGTGCTGCCGCTTTCACTGGAGTCACCACTGCCAGCTTCAGCAGGACCACCCACCCGCTGGACGCCTTTCGACGCCCGCCTGGTGGGACGCAGTGTGCATTTCAGGTTTCTCTGAGCACATCGGGTGCAGGGGAATTTCTTATCGCACTTGGTCTTCGTCTTTGCACAGTTACTGCAGGCAATGGGTGTGCGGCCGGCTGACTTGGGTATTATCCCCTGTGGTGGAAGACCTTCTTCGTTATTTTGGTTACGGCCGTGGACGGTGTAATGCCTCTGCAAAAGGTCTCTGTGAGCGCGTCAGCAGCTCGATCTTCGATAAGAGCATGGAAAAAAGAGCATGGTTGGAAAAACGTACCGTCGAGCGAAGCTCATATGGCAGGTAAAGCACTTGAATGGCTTTACATTGGTGTCTGCTCGTCAAGAAAAAGAGTGGTTAGCGATAGCCTCGTGGGATTTCCTCCGGCTACGATTCTACTGTGGTGATGAAGAACGAAGAACGACTTACGAGTAAGGATGTGACGTTCCAGATGCTCGTCTCTGGTGAACGACTGTCCACAATAAGTGCAAAAGACCATTTTTGGATATCCGGCTCGAATGTCTACTGCTCAAAAAGAAAGCGTGTACTACGAGGAAGTTGGCCACAAAGGGGTTGTTGGTGATGGCTGCAAGGTCGACTTGGAAGGGGTATTGGTAGGGATAAGAAGGACCAAGGTTCAGGAACAGATCAAAAAAGATGAAAATGGAGGCGGGGACATCAAAAGGCGAGTGGAAGAGCGTGGCGAGGACTGAAGCGGGGAGGAGGCCCTATGTGGCTGCAGGTAACGGTGAGCCAAGAAGCAAGCAGGGTAGTGGACAAGTGCTTCAGAAGATTGCTGGTCCTTGTAGGTGTTACAATGGGGCGAGCATGGAGTGGAGAAGAGGACAGAGGCTAAGGTGGGAAAGGCGAACGTCAGGTCGATTCTTAGACGCTTCGGGTTGGGACGTCAGACGAAAACTGTGTGTCAAGATGGCTGTGGAGCTGACTGCAGAGCCCCTTCGCTAACCGTGGTGTGAGAAGGACAAGGTCAAGCAAGAACCGAGCAAGTGGTACATGTGCTGTACAGCAAGCCAAGCAGGCTGGGGGAGGTAGTAGTAGCGAGAGCAGGGCGTGGGAGACAGAGAAAGCAGCCACGGGGAGCGAATTGGCGTGGGAAAAGGCAATTCTGGCGGCGCAGGTAAGTGTCGAGGTAGACAATGTAAGAGCGGGTACAACTGGCGGCCATGCCTAACAGGGCGTGTTGACTATGCATTTGAGCGACGATGAATTCATCAACTGGGGGAGGGTTCCGGCGGCATGAGCTAGTGCCTCGCAGGTAGATGCAGCGCCAGGCTCCTGGGTGGGTCGAGCCCGTCCCGGTTAGCCATGGAAGAAGATGTTTGAGCGACCAGGGGTATCTGCACGGCGTTGATGATAAGACTCAGCGATGGCAGGGATGCAGGCTGAAGATCTACACCGCGGACTAGATGGCATGTCGAGGTGGAGGTGCGTGCGGCGGGGAGGGGTGGGTGGGTGAGGAAGAGGCGCGCCGGGTCCGCGTCAGCCACAAACTCGGACCAGGCATGCCAGGCGAATGGGCGGAAAAGAAAAAAACGGCGTACAGAGCCGTAATTAATGTATTGCCGCAATACGGCAGTATTACACGCCATGATCAGCGGCCCCCGAGTCCTGTCCTGCCCGGTGCTGTCGGTACGAAACCTTGGTCTTGTATGGACGGAGGGTCGCGGACAGCAATGTCTCCATCTAGACGTGTGCCTTGCC